GATAGAAACTAAACACTTGAAACTAGCTTCATAAAACATTCAACAACCATAAGCACAAATCTGCAACCACAAACTTTAAAGTTATAAAATACTACAAACTAAAAGTACATGAAGATTAAAGCGCTTTAAAGTCAAGCTCAAGAAGAATCAATACAACCATCATCATTTCTCAAGTCGTGAGAGTGAGATTCTAAATTTCAATTTTTAAAATACTAATAAGAGAAGTCATCTTGAGAGTCTTCATGTCCATCATCATCACTATCATCCTCGGCGGCCTCCACGTATTCTACTTCCTCGGTCTCCTCTAAATCAGCCTCCTCCTCCTCGACCTCTAGAGCTGATGTGCGACTAGACCCAACTCTACTCCTTTGTGCTCTAGTGTTAGGCCATTCTTCTTCATTAGCCCCTGTGGTTAGCTCGACATCAAGCCATGTAAGATCCTTACCCTCAAACACATGCTCTAGTCGTGAATCCGCAGTCTACTCACTTGTGCAATCACCATCAACTTCATACAATTGAATAGGGTTGAGCAACATGTGCTTTTGATACCTCTCCCTAAACCACTCATTATACCGCACATAAACCAAATCATTCAACTTTTTTGCTCCAACCTCTTTCTTGGTATGGAGCTATGGTAGAAATTGAAATTAGATAAATTAGATTTTAGAAAATTAAAATCCAAGAAATAAGGATTAAGGAATAAGGACTTACATGCTCAAATGCACTCCAATTGCATTCACAACCAGATGAGCTACATGTGAGATTCAACACTCAAATAGTGAGACGTAGATTTGGTCTCGCTTCCATATAATGCCCACCATGCAGCTGTTTAATATTTTATAATTTAAATTATCGATAAAATTAAGGGTAAACAATGGAACTATATATACAGTGACAAACAAGTAAGGGTACTTTTGGGCCTTTACCTGGATCTATAGTGCCTCTATTTCGAGTAGCAATCTCTCTCCCAAAGTTTCTCAAGGCAAACTTGAACTTAATCAATTCTTGGTTCTAGATCTCATCTCTGATATCTTTGTCAGGCACCAATCTCTCAAGCACATATAAAAACCCACCATTTAGTACATGATCTGACTTAATGTATGGGCGCTTGTAGTGAAGAGATGGATTTAGAAAGTAACCGGCCTAATGAAGGTGCTTGTGAAGCTGGGTATCCCATCTCCTATTAATAATTCCAAGTATAGCCTTGGATTTATTTTTATCATCCTTCAAAACATTTTTTATCTCTGCTCTTGCCTTAGTCATTGCTTCAGATATGTAGCCCATGGCGGGCTTCACATCATCATCAACCAATCGAAGCACTTCCACTAAAGGGCCAGCCACCTCCAATGCAAGAATAATTTCATTCCAAAAAGATGTATTCAGAATAATTTGTTCAACCTTTCTCCCATCCCGATGCTTTAATGATTTACTTTGATTCCATTTCTCTGAAGCAAACATGGTCCTCAAGGCACTTTTTTGCTTCCCTAGGCTTCGAAGAGTGAGAAATGATGTGGCAAATCTAGTGATACCCGGTCTCACTAATTCTCTCTTCTTTGTAAAAGTCTTTATCATGCTTAGGACCATGGTGTGATTGTAAATAAATCCAACAACAAATATAGCTTTTAAAATCACCCCACTAAATAAAGATGTACCCATTTCCTTAGGCATGAGATTAACACAATAAGTTGAGCAAGGAGTCCAAAACATATGCATTCTCTTCAAAATCAACAAATGCCAAGCTGCAGCATAATTAGCACCATTGTCAATGACAATTTATACCACATTTTTCTGTCCAACAAACTCTACAATCTCATCCATCAAGCCACATAAATATGTAGCATCATGTGACTTGTCTGATGCATCAACAAACTTAACAAAGAAAGTACCTATTCGACAGGTAACCAAAAAATTAATGAATGCCCTTGATTTCGCATCGGACTAACCATCACACATAATAGTGGCTCCATACTTCTCTCACCCTTCTCATTGAGAAATCAAAATTTTGCTAACATCAGATACAACATCCTTCAATAAGGGCTCCCTAACCTCATGTAGTGAAGGAAGAATAAGTCCTGGGCCACATTGCCCAATTGCCTGGACTATATATGCAAAACTATCTAGTGTTATAGTATTAAAAAGAATGTGGGTCATGTAAAGCCACTTTGCAATATACTTACATACCGACTTCTTTTGTTCTTTCTTGTATCAATTGTTAATTGTGGTTTGTTTTGTTTTTTATTTCTCCTCTTGAACCACAATTTCAGGGTTAGGCGTGTAAAAAAATTCATTGGCCCCGTAGAGAGAGGTGTTCTTTTTCCAATACTACCACCATTATTTACGACGCTCTCTCATGAAAATAGAGTTGGATTACCCTTTTGCCTCATTGCAACTTCTAATATACCATCATCATCATCATCAACATCAAATACTTGCACATCATCAAGTATTTTTTTTCTTTTCATGTTTTTCTTCTCTTTTTCTTGTTTCAAGCTATCCATGTATTCTCTAATCTCCCTTTTTATCTCTTCAATAGCTTGTGGGCATGCTCTTACATTCCCAAAAATACTGGCTAAGTGTTCTTTTTGCCGAAAAATACCACCCATATAAATATTTCCACAAAGCATACAAATCACACAATTTCGATCTTTCAGATTTTTAGGTTTAGCAGATTTCCAAGCCAGATCCTTATTACTAGAAGATTGGGAAGAAGACATTGCCCCAAAAAAAGTATTACTGTAAAAGGAAAAAAAAGTTACCGATTACTTGAAGCAAGTATTGATTTCTTCACGACCCTTAAAACCATCGATTTGCCGTCACAAGTTCGCCTAAATTTCCTCAAATCAATACCCAAAAGGTACAAATCAATAACCGAGTATCAACAAATGCACAAATCAAAGAACTTCAACGAAAAAATTTTCCCTTCAAATTTTTCTTTTGATTCAATCGATCACAAAAAAGCCACGAATGTGGCTCAATATTGTTGTTTGGGGGGTTCAATACTCCCCCAAACCCTTTCCCCCAAATTTTGAAGGTCAAGAAGACCATTTTACCCATCCCGGAGAGGTACCATTTCGAAAAACATTTGCAGAAAACTGTGCAGCCTGATGCGCTATGCAGCTCTGATGCAGAGAGATGCGACGCATATGCAGGGGCATCTCTCCAAACCGCATATGCAGTCATTTCTGATGCAGTGCCAAGCGCGTTGCGCATGATGCGAGTGCATATACGGCGATGCCGCCACATTTTAAAACATTGGTCCATGTCATTTTAGCATACCAAATTTCCTTTCATCCACCTGTTGTACTAGTTGCAATTTTACTCTATAAAAGATCGAATGTTACCTCATTCACATTCAGCTAAAGAAGAGGAAAAATTCATTAATAAAAGCAACCTAGGTCTTTACACGTGGGTCTTGTCCTTTTCAAGCATGTGCAAACTATTGAGGAGGGATCTCTTGTCATGATGTCTTTGTGTAATTTTAAGTGCAGATGGATTATTTTAATGGGGTGTGTTGTCACTCTATCCTGTGGCACTCGAAGGAGTACGCAAGTGCTCAAGATCACATTAAAATGAGAAGTCTTGTATATGCATGCCACGTAATGAATAATTCATGTCTAATGAAGCCCACTCCTTGCAGCATCACATGGTTCCCAACAAACCAGTTAATGGGAAGGGCCAGTATTTCCGAACAAAGGGGATATCTAACATGGACGTGGGTCGATTCTCTCATGGAATACATATAAATAAAATTAAGCATGTCATATTTATGCAAGTCTAGTTTCATATAGTTGGATAACTCTATAGTCACAGCGCCATGGTATCTCATTTGGGATAACAAGATTAAATTCCTTTTTAGGCAATTCCCAGGAAGACCATGGCATAGTGTCTGTAACTACGAGAGTTCATTCTCGATAAGATTACCCTTGGAACCATCTGTTTATTTGTTTGCACACTTCATTATCATTTGATGTAGGTATTTTGCTTCTGTTTTTCTGTTGTCTCAAATTCTCATAGATCTTAGGCATCATCTCAAGAGGAGTTCAATTAGATGAACCCATAAAACAGAGGGGACAACAGGTGGAGTGCAGCTCCCTAATGAAGGGTCAAGATGCATTTCTAAGGGGTACTACTGATAAATTTTAATAGCATTTCATATGGAAACTCATATAATAAAAGGGTGGAGGCTTAATTAAAGGAATAGTTTTTGCTAATGAAGAAGGCCTTCCTAGGGGAGGGGCAGAAACAGAGGCTTTGCAGTCTCAAAACTTCTATGCAGTCTTTCTCAAGGTCACTGATTGTATAAGGGGCTTCTTTTAGTAAAATCAGATGGATAGTACAGTTTTCCAATGGCCCTTATGGTACAGTGGATGTTTTAAAGGAAATCCTCGAAAGCTCTCTCTGAATTTCTAGTACCAAAGAGTAGAAATGAAGTCCACAAGAAGAATGATGTCTTTGCCAACAGCGGGATCATGAAAACAGGCCTGAGACTGTGGAAGCCCTCCCGTTGATGTAACATTTTCAATTCATTGAGCCACTAGTACCAAATCTAAATTCATCAATGAAATGAATAAAATTTGAGCTAGAACCCTACACTCAAGGAAATAAACTTCAACTCTGGTGATCTTTTAAATGACATTGTATGGCTTCATAAGTGTATATATTGTTACAACTGTATCTTTGGCTATGTACTGTAGTACTTAAATTGGGCATTAAATATAATTAGATGACATCTGCTCCAGAAGCAAATCAGTAACTTTTAGCTTTAATAGCTGAGTCCACAGATGATGATACATATATATATAAACATTTCCAAGCTCTAGCTATGATCATTAAAGTTGGCTCAAAATCCCCTGCACCACCCCCCTCCCCCCCCCCCCACCAAAAAAAAAGAAAAAGAAAATCCACAATAGAAAAGCTAAAATACAAGAAATGATTAATGTGTATTAACAAGATGATAAGAGGTATTGGAACCGCCAGATAGTAGATGGTAAACCACACACCTGTGTATTATAGGTACTTCCAGGATAGAGAAAGAGGTAAAATATCTGTCTTTGATCAAAGTCATATGCATTTTGAGGTTGCAAAAGCAAGGTACCACATATATTACTTGAAGATACCTGCAAAAGAAATGCATACCTCAGGAAAAGATAGAGAGAAATTGTAATTGGCATTGTTTCATTTAAAATAGTTATCTCATACAGAGCATCACCAATCAGAGTACATATATCTCACAACAATATAAAGCACGGCAGCAGTTTGAGGCATCACGGTGTAAAAAATTCCAATCCAAATTGAAACATTCATCTAATTTCCATCACTCATGTACAGCCAGTGCACCTTCAATTTCATTATTTGATTTCAAGATTACAAGCAATTTCTTTTATGCATCAAGGTCATCCATGTAGTGATAATTCTATCATTAAACGCATCATGATTAAGTCCTCAAGAAAAACTCATGGGTACTTCTTTCCAAAATAACATTAGCATATCCAAACTAATTTTATCAATCTATGACAATTTCGATCAATGAGAAATTGGGACCAACATTAATGAAAGCATTTAATTTCATATTTGTAGGTCGAGTAAGGCCTTTAAAAAATCAGCCCCAAATGGTAACATTCTTTATTGTTAAAGAGAGAATCATCATCATCCTTATCAAACCCTTTTCCCAACAATTTGGGGTAGGCTATCAGGATGCATGGAAAGGTTTGGTAAAGTTTTGCGTTGGCTAAAAGGATGCATGTAAAGTTTTGGTCGGCTATCAAATGGCTTAGATATATCCTAAAGTCCAGGGGAATTAAAATCCCAGATATCTCAAAAGACGAAATAAATATGGCTGAAAAACCATTTAAAACCTTTTATACAGTTAAAGGTGAAACTGTTGAGTCTATCCACCCTTCTGAAACTAGTTTACAACTAAAAGGTGAAAAATTAGAAACTAAGGCCTCACCCTTCAAATTAGGACCTAAAGAGACAGACAACCATATGGCCAAACTAGAGGGTATACCACATATCATAGAACAAAATAATTATACAAATATTTTCCTTCAAACCATGGGTAAACAAACTATAAGGATTGAGAATATGTTGAACAACCTAAAAACCACACAGCAGGAAAAGAGAAAGGAAAACCACAGAAAATTCTTGACTTAATGAAGCATATGACAATGTATGTCACCGCTTGTAAGGCTAGCAACAATAAAGATCATGAAATAGCCAAAGCCATTATATGTGGATTTACAGGATGACTTAGAGGCTAGTGGGATTTCCATATGGACGAATCTGCTAAAAACCATATCCTTAACGCCACTAAGCAGTGGGTAGTTAAAACTGAAATTAGTCAAGGACAGGTCCAAGAAACACTAGTGGATGAAGGCAATGCAGTTAATACACTAATTTACACCATCACACTTCATTTTGTTGGGAGTACAGCTCTCTTAGCCGCTAGATCAGAGGATCTACTATCGAACTTACACTCTCTCACTTTAAGTGGTATAAAGAGGTTTCTACTCAAGCATGTTGTCAAGAGAGGATAATAAGACGGATCACTGGAAGGAAAAGTTCATATCCGACCTTCCAAATCTTTTTGCTAAGAAGGTCAAAACAAGACTTAAAAATAAGCATAAGGGAATTATTCGTTATTCTCAATGTACCCTAGGGGCATGTTTGGATAGGAGGAAATTATGAATCTTAGATATTTGAAATCCTAAGGAAATCTATGGATTTTCAATTTCAAGGATTTTCTTCCTGGATTCCTCAAATTTCTTGTTTGGATAAACTATACAAAATTCCTTGCAATCACTTTCATGTCCATTGTTTGGTAACAAAACTTGATACAATTTCTCTCTCTAAAATTTTTATATGCTTTCTCTCTGTAAGATTCAAAATTTGGGATAGTGTATCTCTAAAAATTTTGAGATAGTTTCTCTCTCTAAAATTTAATATGGTTTCTCACTCTAAAATTTAATATACTTTCTATCCAAAACTTAAAATTTGAAATAGTCTATCTAAAAATTTTGAGATAATTGCTCTCTCTAAAATTTTTAGGTGCTTTACTCTCTAAAATTTAATATAGTTTCTCTTTCTAAAATTTTAAGACACTCTCTCTCAAAAACTTAAAACTTGAGATAGTTCTCCTCTTCAATAATTTTGAGATAGTTTCTCTCTCTAAACATTTTTAAGTAATTTCACTCTCTAAAATAAGATATAGTTGTTCTCTCAAATTTTAAGACACTTTCTCTTTCTAAAAGCTAATAATTGAGAATATTTGCGATAGTTTCTTTTTCTAAACAATTTTATGTACTTTCTCTCTTTAAAATTTGATATAGAATTTATAATAATTTCTCTCTAAAAGTTTAAGAATACTTTCTCTCTACAATTTTAAGAATACTCTCTCTCTACAATTTTAAGAATACTTTCTCTCTCAAAAAACTTAAGATTTGATATAGTTTCTCTCTCTAAAATTTAAAATATGAAAAGGCAAGAGGAATCTTACTATGTTGGTGCAATTATTGGAGCGGACTTCAAACCGTTTCAAGTCTGATTACCTCTCACCTATAAAAGGGGGAGTTCCCCATTCATTTGGGGCATCAGAAGTAAAAGAGTGTCTTGCTTTGTATGGAGTGTCCTACTATTGAGTGTCTTGTATTCAATTATCCTTGCTTTGATTGTTGAGTCCTAGTGTTCTCAGACTGGTGGTGTATCAAGCTTGCCTCTACAATCTTGCTTTCTCCTATTGTTCTCAGTCTGGTGGTGTATCAAGCTTGCTTCTGCAATCTTGCTTTCTCCTATGTAAGTTAACCTTACGTTCTCTCTTTTGTATGAGATTGTGTTATCAGTTTCAGGATCCTTTTCTGCCTTCCTAGCTTAAGCGAGATCTTTGGGTCACAATGACTTTTAGATCAGACTACCATCTTAATTTAGCAAATTTTGTTAACCACTATGAAAACCTAGCTTAAACATGGCTCTGATACCATTTTACAGGGGAACAAATAAAAGTGTATAGATTAAATCCTTTTATGCCTTCCCATGCTTTTATGTATTCAAAATAGTGGCAGGATTTGATTTTAAATCCTTTAGTATTAAACAACTTTGGTTTTGAAGGATCTAGTCCCCATTCTCTGTAAGAGATAATTTTGTGTATTTGGAATTTTGAATACGCAATTTGAGAATCATTATTCCTGTAATGGTGGACAATTGTTGCCGACCACGTTTCCATGAGTATAGTCTCATAAAATTCTCTGCATCTCTCTCCCATATTTGGGTGCATATGGTTTTTTAAATAGATCGCTACTATTTCAGCAGTGTCTTTTATCTTAGGGTGCAGTTGGCATACGGATACATCCGCAGGTGTAGAGGTAAGGTGCACCTTCAAATTTTATCATGACATAATTTTGATGTAAAATGTTCTTAGGATTATCTCAAAATCTATTTTTATATCTAATTATAAAATTTTAAATTTCAAAAATGGTTAAAATCAAGTAGATCTATATACTTATGAAAATCTTGAAAATTGACGATGTAGATAATATGTTGTAAAATACACTATTTCTGAGAATTAAAATCTTTTTATTTTTCATTGTCATACATCTCGATGTCAAGATGATCAATCAAAGGGTTTTTCAACATTAAAACTACCTTTTCCGATGGATTTTTGAGGGGCATCCGTAGTTCTACATTATAAGGTAGCATATCCTTATATAAACTTTTTCCTTTATCTTATGGTCATTTTCAACAATTATCAAGAGTATATAAGCTGTTTCAATAAAGGGAGTCCTATTAGGACTTGAACCAAGACTATTAATCCTCAGAAGAGATTGTTGGTAAGCTATATCAATCTCTTGTGTTTTGTTTTTTATTAAAGCACTCGGTGATCTTGATGATATAGCCAGGGCTTTACTTGGGCTGGGAACGATCTCCATTGGCTGTTTTTGGGATTTCTTGCCAGCCCTGCAAAAATTCTCAAGTTAAAAAGTCACGAAGATGATTAGCTTTTTCGTGAATATGTTCAATAGTAAATTCAAATGCGGAGAGAATACCTTGCTATCGTGCAAAGATTTGTTTTGAGACAAGATTTTTGACATCTTTCTCAAGAATGTCCTTGGCGGCTTTACAATCGGTTCGAATAAGAAAAGGTCTATTAAGTAAATCGCTTTGGAATTTTGTTACACAATGAACAATTGCAAGGATTTCCCTTTTAACCGTGGAATAATTTTGTTGGGCCGAGTTCCAAGCTTTTAATGTAAATCTGACCAGTTGTTCCTTTTCATGAAATTTTTGTTTAAGCACTCCTCTTAGCCCTCGTTCAGAAGCATCGGTTTCAATAAAAACTTCAGGACTAGATAATGCGAAGCAGGGAAATTCTTTGGCCTTAAGCTTAATTTTCCTAATGGCTTTGGTATGCTCATCAATCCAATCAAGAGGATTCTTTTTTAACCGTTGGAACAAAGGTTTCGCGTTAATAGCAAGATTTTTGTAGAAATCAGAAATATAATTCAAACATCCAATTAATCTTTGAAGTTCTTTCTTATCTTTTATAACATCTAGAAATTTGTCCGCGAACTGAATTGCTCTATTAATGGGAACAATTCTTCCCTGATAAATATTGTGACCAAGAAATCTTACCTTGGTCTGGAAGAGATTTATCTTTTTTGCTAATACTGCTAGACCAGCCTTTTTAATAGCTTTTAGAAATATATTTACATGTTTCCAATGTTGGTCAATAGATTCAAAGAAGACAAGTACGTCATCAATGTATACTATCACGAATTTAGTGTAAAGATTAAATATATCATTCATGATATTTTAGAATTCGGATGGTGCATTTTTTAATCCGAAAGGCATGATATTTCATTCGTAATGTCCAAAAAGGACATTAAAAGCTGTTTTATATTTATCTTTTTCGGAAATTTGAATTTGCCAATATCCAGACTTTAAATCGAATTTTGAAAATACACAAGCACTAACCAATCTATCAAGGAGATCTATTTTGTTGGGAATTGGATATCTTATCCTTCATGGTGCTTTATTCAGTGATTTATAATTGATTACCAGTTTAGGGGGCTCCTCCTTCAATTTCAAAAGCCTTTTCCACATAAAAGGCTGAGTAACTCCATGGTGAGGAGCTCTTCCTAATAAGGCTTTTATTATGTAATTCTTGGATTTCTTTTTTACAAATTTCTAAAAGCCTACTATTCATTTGAATAGGTCGTGCCTTGGTAGCAATTTTCCGTTCATCAAAATCTGGCTCGTATGGGAGCTCAACTATGTGTTGCTTTCGATCCCAAGAGGCATTAGGGACCTCAGAGCATATTTCTTTTTCAAGAGTCATCTTGCAAGTATTAATCTCTTGTTGTAACTTGGAAGATGACAATTTTTCTTCAATTGTTTTGTATTTGACTTCCTCTTTTAAATAAAAAAGGAATTTTTCTTTAGTACAGATTTTATTCTTTATATTGCTTATCTCATGAACTCTTGGTTTATCTATGAAGTCAAATTTTACTTCATGTCATTCAATATTAGCTTTAATTCTTGTATCATCGATTTTTATAGGGTAGAGCATATTTAAAAAAGGAGTTACGAGAATAACTGACTAGCTTAAACCTTTAACCATAATGAATGGAAATTTAAAACGGGCTCCATTATTGCAAACCGCAGCATCGGATAATTTGTAGTTTATTAGCATTTTGCTACCATCAGCAGTATTTAAAACCTGGGTAGTTTTGCTGAAGTACTTCATAGCGACTAAGCCCTCATTTATGTAGTTTAAATCAGCTCTTGGTCAATAAGAGCAATGGTTTGAAAGCTATATTCTTGTTGTACCACTATTTTAACAGTAGTAAACCACCGTTGTGTTACAACCTTATCCAAAAGATTAATGTAGTTGAGGTTTTGGAGTATAGGCTTTTCTAAAGTGTTACACTGAGATTCTCCTTCCAAAGCTTTTGGTAGAGTGTCATCTACCTCAGGTGGTATGAGGTTATGGGGATATTCATTTATTAAGTCATTAAATTCTTCCTCAGTATTTAAATCCTCTGTTCTTTCCCAAGAAGTAGTAGCTATTTCTAGGACTTGAACTCTCGTTTTAAGAGTTATTAGGTCATTGCAAACTTCATTTAGTTCATGTTTTAATTCAGGAACTGAGGGTTCTTTACTAATCTGAGTTTTATTCTGAACTCTTTTAAGAATATCTTGAAAGCTATATTCCTCTTTTGTTGGTATAAGAGAAGTCTTGGGTGTAGTAGCTCTGGATGGATTTTTGGCCATGTTTATGTATTGGATTAAGGCTTCTTTTGTAGCATCTGGATTATTAATTTTGTCAATTAAGCCAATGATTAAATTTTCTTTTGTAAGAGTATTTAGACTTGAACCATTCATATCCATGATCGCTTTGTAGAAATTACATTCGCAAGAATCATCACCTTTGTAATCATCATCTAAGTCAGAGTCAGAGCTTGAAAAGACTAATTCCTCATCATTAATTTCCCCGATTAATATTTATTCATCAGATTTAGAAGAATCATCAAAAGTTTCTTCATTAATCAATAAAATATCAAATATTTGTTTTTTAATATTTTCATCAATTTCAAGAGCATTATTTCTCCTCTTGACCCGGCATTTATTTTTATAATACTTATCACAGTTATAACAAACTGGTATTATCTTCTTTCCCTTGTGTTTAAAAGAGTGATCTTGGATAAATTTTTAGGGAATTTCTCTTTCTTTTTTAAGGCTTGATTTTATCTGGATTTGTGAAAAATTTTATGCTTCTCTTTATGAAGCGGTTTTAGAAGAAGGTAAAGTGTTATACCCAAATTGCTCATAGAAGTTTCCTAATTCTTTTTTCCCTGTCATCCTTTGTTTTTCTAATTGTCTCCTGAGTTTTAGATCTGTACATAAAGCAAGACCCTCAGCACAAATTTTTGCTGATAATTCTCCTAGGGTATATTGAGAATAAAGAATAATTTCGTTATGCTTATTTTTAAGTCTTGTTTTGACCTTCTCAGCAAAAAGATTTGGAATGCCAGATATGAACTTTTCCTTCCAGTGATCCGGCTTACTATCCTCTCTAGACAACAGTCTTGAGTAAAAAACATCTTTATACCACTTAAAGTGAGAGAGTGTAGGGCAGCGTAAGTTCGATAGTAGATCCTTTGATCTAACAGTTAAGAGAGTCGTACTAACAACAAAATGAAGTGTGACAGTGTAAATCAGTGTGTTAACTGCATCGCCTTCATCCACTACTGTTTCTTGGACCTATCCTAGACTAATTTCAGTTTTAACCACCCACTGCTTAGTGGCGTTAAGGATCTGTTTTTCAGCAGATCATCCATATGGAAATCTCACCAGCCTCTAAGTCATCCTGTAAATCCAGGTATAATGGCTTTGGCTTTGGCTATTTCATGATCTTTATTTCTGCTAGCCTTACAAGCGGTAGCATACATTGTCATATGCTTCATTAAGTCAACAATTTGGTTTTTCAACATACCGTCTATGTTTCAATTAACAATAGACCTGTCGGAATAAGATACAGAACTAGCAATAAGGTCTTCTTCTCTTTGAAGATCTACTAGAGTAGGTCGGGGATAGTACATTCTAGTCTGGGAAACTGGTCTACTTTTTCTTCCATAATCTATCCTGTTGATATCTAAGCTTTCATATTTAAAGGCTTCTTCAATTTTTACAATTTCCTGATCAGAATAATTCTGATCTTTTTGTAAACTTGTACATCACTAATAATAGAATATTTTTTCCTTTATTTTATCATCAATATTCAATTTTGCAAGTCTTTTGACTAATTCATCCACAAGTTCTTTATTATCATCTTTATATATATATAAGCAAGTATCTGAACCAGGGTATAAGCCTAGGCCAATCAACAGGTGTGAAACTCGCCCCAAATGTTCAAGCAATTAACCAAGGACAGTAAGGAACCGATCCAGATTC